TCGTTTCAGACAGAACTGAAGCACCTCTCAGGAATGAACTTCTCAGGCTCGGGCCAGTGTTGTGGGTCATAATGGAGGAAGCCTGCAGGGATATCCAGTACTGCTCCTTTAGGAAGTTGCTGACCATTCACCACACAGTCATGTTCTATTTCTCGTGCAAACCTTAGTGGGACAAAATATGACAAAAAAGATTGTTTTACAGAATCCAAATACTGTTTTCTTTATTCCACACAGTTATAATTGGACTCAGCATATTCATAAGAGCTGTAACTGTCAGCATGAAGTGTTTCCCCACCACTCTATTGACTTTAGCTGTCATTTATAGTTGCAGTCATGTCCTCCTCTCTGCTTCTCTGTACTTGTGTCCATTTAAGGAAGATGAGTTTAAGTGTACTGATAGTTACTGAACATATTTTAATGCATCTGCAACCAAATATGAACAGAACCTGAGCCTTAACGTCCCACAGTCAGAAAACATCTGTATTATTGAAATGCACTAATGTTTGATCTTGCAGCCGTGTCAGTAATTATAATAATAATGACGATAGAGTTTTTACCGATGATAGGATTATGGCTATACCCCATGAAAAGCTACAAACAAACATTTTTATTTTTCACATACACAATCATTAAGAGTACAACATGTAGTGAAATGCTTGCATTGGAGCTTCGGACAGGCTGCAAACGTAGCTGCGCCGTTCGAGGGCTTGGGGTTTTTTTTTTTAGCATGGGGAGTCTAGCCAGGACCCTTAATGAATAATGGGTGGAAATCAAACTTGCGACTCCTGCTCCAAAAGTGTGTAGTCTTACTACTACACTATCTAGCTGAGACAAACAGCTGATGAATGTTTCCAAAAAAGCCAAAACTGAAAATCTTCCAAAGTCACAGCATACTACTCCAGGCCCCACTGTGGCAAACCTTCATATCCAATTGACATCCTTCTTTACCTGAATAAAGGAGGGTAGAGGCGTAATGCTTCACATGTAACCATGTCCAAATACTTCAGCTCCTGCACATTTGTGTAATCAGGTGAGTCCTACAAAGCAAACAGCATGACAATCAATGACTGTCCA